GGACTTGTATTCAATATTTCAGTACATACAACCTAAAATCCTGTTTGCCTTACCACTAGCAACAGCACACTGCGTCGATGGCTTAAGAGACTGATCAATCATTACACCAAGATCCCTTTCCTTCATAACACTATTAAGGTTATTTCCATCCAAGTTATACTCATAATTCAAATTATGATAACCCACATGCATTATCTTGAATTTATTATAATTAAAACCCATCTGCTATTTATTTGTCCAACCCACTAAATGATCTAAATCCTTTTGTAAATCAGCAGCATCCTCTTCACAGCTAACAACATCCAAGACCTTAATATCATCTGCAAATTTAAGTAATTTATTGACCATTCCTTCATCTATGTCATTGACGTAAATCAAAAAGAGTAAAAATCCTAAAACTGAGTCCTGAGGTACCCCACTTGTGACATTAATCTAGTTTGACTGAACTCCATTTATGAGAATCTTCTACTTTCTTCCATCCAGCCACTCATCTATCCAGTTAGCTAACTTATCTCCCACACCTACAGAGATAATTTGACAAGCCTTTTATGTGGCACCTTGTCAAATGCCTTCTGACAATCCAGATACACCAAATTAACACCCTTTATCTTGTGTCATCCACTTTCCTCACAGGGTGATGGAGCATGGAGCTGTGCACTGGCTCATATAAGCTCTCTCTATATATCTGAAATGTCTTTAAAGTTGGCATTTAAACAGATTTATAAAGCTAACTAAAACTACTTCAGTTGGAAGGTTATTCCAAACATCCACAACTGTGAGAGGGGAAAAGAACTTCTTTAAATCCAATCTGGAACTCTGCTTATATATTTTATACTAGTGACCTCTGGTTATAGAATTATTAACTATAAAGAAGTCTGCAGCATTTAATCCTATAAGGCTTTTAAAAATTTTAGAGACCTCAATTAAATCATTTCTTAAATGATGGGTTTCGAGTGTAGTTTCTGTAACCATAACGATAACCTGTTACCATCTTCGATGATCTCCTCTGAACTTGTTTAAGTAGATCTACATCATTTTGAAGATTTGGATACAATATTCTAGGTGATTTGTACAACCTAAGTATCACATTACATTCCTTATATTGAATAATTATTTTAATTAGCGGTGGTATCTTGACGTGATGCATCAGTGACGAAAGAATCAAATTTAAGCTCACAAACATTTCTTACGATAATGTTAGTTTTTCTTATGTGTTTTTCAATTGTCTCAAAGAATTCTTTTTTGATAACTTTCCTATCAAATGGGCCTTTAACTTCGTAAATTTCATCTACTTTATTAAACAAATCATTCATTTGATCAAAATGATCCATCACATTTTGTATAAAGACCTCCATGGCTTTACCATTACATACATTGTAAAACCATCAGGATTATTGAGAGAATCATACAGAGGTTTTGAGATACTTGATGTCCCATTACTTTATTCCATTTACCAAATAAACAGTAACCTTTTCAAAGAATGTTAAAATATTTGTAAGGCAAGATTTTCCCTTAGTGAAACCATGTTGACTATCCAATAAAATTCTAAACTTTATTAATTAACTTTACAAAGCATCTTTATACAGACTCTCTAAAACTTTTCTCACAACTGGGTCTATTATTACTGAGACAATTTTTATCACCTCCCTTCAAAAGAGGAGTAACATTAGCCAACTTCCAATCTTCTGGTACTTGCCCACTATTGAAGGACTGACAAGATATAGTAACAAGTGACATATTCACTCTTTACCCTCCTTCAAAACCCTTGGAGAAATATTATATGGCCCAGGAGCATTATCACTTTTTAAGCTTCCCAATGTTTTCTTAACCAACTCAGAATTAATGCAGTCATCTTGTTTGATCTCGTTTCCATCTATCAACTGTTCAAGATATGGAATACTGCTTAAATCTTCGTTAGTAAAAACTGAAGAAAAAAGCAGAATTTAATAACCCAGCCATCTCATAATCACCAGATACTAGCCTTCTTTTATCATCCCTCAAGGGTTCTAGCTCCATTCTAGCATTTTGTATTTAAATAAATCCTTACTGTTAATTTTTACGTTTTCAGCTGTTTTCTCATACATTTTTTTTGATGCCCTAGTGTCCTGTTTGACCAACTTTCTTGATCTTCAAAGTCTCCTGTCATACCATTCAATTTAAATTTCTTAAATTTGTGATGCTTTTCTTCAATTTTATCTCTCACTTTTTGTGAGTCAACTTGGTTTTTACTTGTAGCTACCCTTTTCTTTCTGTAAGGAATATGTTTATCTTGAATATTTAAACATTTCCACATCTGATCATGTTTCCAAATAACTCAGCTGCCAAATTCACAACGAATAATTCTTGCTGCATCTCTTCAAAATTTGTAACAAAAATGTATCTTAACTGGAGCCTAGCCTGCCTTTTCCAGATACTAGACCTGTGACCTTTCATGCTGTTGTCTCCAG